CCAGATTCATTTCGACCCATTTCCCTTACCTCACACCTATGTAAAACACTAGAGTCTATAATAAACAATAGACTAAAACACCAAATTCATACCCATAACCTAATTAAGCAGGACCAGAGTGGCTTCACTCCTAATAGGCAAACTTTGGATCACATTTTACATTTGGAACATGATATAAAGGTAGCCCAAGCACAAAAACAATACACGCTGGCCATTTTTATAGATTTCAGCAAAGCTTTCGACATGATCTGGCACAACGGCCTAATACAAAAACTACAAGAAAATGCCATACACGGGCGGATTCTAAATTTCATTCAAGCATTTCTTAATAACAGACAAATAATAGTCAAATCACACAACACTGTCTCGGACCCTTTCCCACTAGAAAATGGAACCCCCCCAGGGGAGCATAATTTCCCCAACACTATTCAATTTTATGATAAATGACATTTTTCCGGACAAGTGGCCAGAAATTTCTATTGCAAAATTTGCTGATGACATTTCATTTTGGACATCATCTACTTCAGGAAACCAAGCCACAATCAAAACTCAAAGAATGCTACACCACATCCAAAACTTGGCCCAAAAATGGGGGTTCCACATTAACGTCAAAAAAGCCGTGGGCATCCTATTCAAAAAACAAAGAATGCAAAATTATACACCCAAACTTCATCTCAACAACCAAGAAATCAAGTTCGAAAAAGAGGCAAAATTCCTAGGTGTAACTTTCGACCAACACATGACATGGACACCCCACATTAATAACCTGGTCAACTCATGCCAAAAAAGATTTAAATCTCATGCGAGCCATCAGCGGCACAAACTGGGGTGCCGACAAACAAACACTTATTAGTATATACAAAACTCTTATACAGTCTAGACTGGACTATGCTGCTCCGGTCCTCCACTCTATCTCCCCAACCAACCTCCAAAAACTAAATTCAATACAGTATAAAGCCCTTAAACAAGCCCTAGGCACTAGGACTGGTACCTCCCACAACACTCTTCTCCTACTCACAGGCATCCCTTCAATCAAAACACGAATAAATCAAACCGCACTCAATTACTGGGCTGGGGCCCAACACAACCCAATCTACAAACTTATCACAACTAAATACACAAACATTAAAAAATCCACTATCAAAAAATTTAAAAACAACCCAAACAAAGCCCCCCTACTCACTCACCTCAACAGTCTGCTTCACTAACACCATCTAAACACCATCCAACACACACCTCCCATTAACAAGCTACATTCATGACAAACCCCCACCCCTACAGATATCACCCTAGTAGAAACACTCCAAAATCTCCTAAACCCACAGACACTCAAACCAAAACAAACCTCATCCAAACCCACATCAACCTAAATTATCCCAACCATACCCAGATTTATACAGACGCCTCAATCGGCACAAACAAACGCATAGGCATAGGCATCCATGTAAACCAAACACCCCCATAACAACAAACCTCCACTATACAAACCACACAAACATTAACACAGCAGAACTCACAGCAATCTTATCAGCACTTCACCTCATCCCACACTATGCCCCACACCAACATCCTATACTTCACAGACTCTCTCAGCGCCGTCAAACAACTTCAACACAAGCACTCAAAAGCGCGAAACGACTTAATACACAACATATAATTATACAAACCGACTCACTCCAACAACTAAATAAAACATAACACTAATGTGGTTCCAGCTCACACACACAACCAAGGGAAATAACACAGCAGACATAGCAGCCAAACTAGCCACCACACAAAACTCTCCACCCATTAAATTTCATACATCCAAAACCGAAATAAAACAACTCATCAAACACCACATAATCAACCAAAACTACCAACACAACCTTAACACAAACAAATCCACCTGGGTCAAAGCAATCATAACTAAACCTATCACCAAAACCTCACCTACTCAAACAACAAACACATGGACACACTCATTACAAGATTAATCACTGGCATCACAAACTTAAATCATCCATTATTCAAACAAAACAGACACCCAGATGGATTATGTACACATTGCAATCAACCTGAAACCATTGAACACATATTCACACACTGCCACCTCCAACAAACAAACATCAAGCAACTACACACCAGCATTCCAACTAAATATCACAACAACATACAGCTACTTTTAAATCCCCACAACCCGTCAAATGTATTCCATGCCATAGCCACCTTTATCCAAAACTCAAATTTAATAAATAAAATTTAGAACCTCCCAAACAATCCTCAACATACTACCTCTCAATAGCCTATATATTTCAGACCAGGCACCAAAATCTCACTTCTCTATTATACCCTACCACCACATAAGCCTGCTCATTTAGACCTGGGAAACAAATTCATCAATTTATAGTTGTCTTATTTCCGCTAAAGGGTCCGCGCCTCTCCCAGCCAATCAGCAACCACTAAAATGTAAACAAACCAGCCCAACCTCTTACGCAAGGTCTCCAGCCCCCAAGCCAGCTTACTTCCAACCTTCACTTATAGCCTTTGCCTTACCCACAGCCTATCACCTCCCACCCCACCCCCCCCTACCAACTTTCCATTTTTCTTTCTTTATTAGGTCCCTTATATTAAAATAAGTACAGCTCAACTGTATTCAAATTCATATCCCCAATATGCTATACACTTATCATCTCCTCTCCCCACCCCCCCTCACCCAACCCTATACCCCAACATTTTCACTACTACTATTCAGCTATTCCAACTCCTCTTATTATAAACAACTGCTTTATTTTCTCTCTCCCTTTCCTAATTTCGGCTTTTATTTATTTATTTTTCATCATGTTTTAACTACTTTTTCATTCTAAAACTACCTAAGTTTAATCTCCCATAATTTACATTTTTTTGGGTATGGTGGTTTATCCCTATTACTACATTATTAATTAATTTACATATCAACCCCACCTACCCCGTCGGCGACATTGGCCACGCTAAAAGCCGACGTAAAACTTCAAATTTCGTTCGTTCATGTCCCATTATGCTTGACAACGGTACAAGAATCTGTATCGAAACGTCGCACTCACGAATAAAAAGAAGTTGTTATCCATAAAGTTTGTTCTATATTCTAATGGTATCTAATGATACATACGATATTATTAAGCTACAACTTCACTGTGCACAACGTCTGAGATACTAATTTACTAAAGTTTGTAACATACAAATGCCAACCTGCTGTATCATCTGTATATGGGACGGAGGCCACACATGCGGAATAAACGATTGATTGACTATCCTCTATACTCCTGTGAGTAAATTGACTCTGCGTTTTCTTTGAGAGAATTACGTAGGCCTAGAGAGAAATACGGAGAAAACTAGTTCTTCACAGATTGCTTGATAATATCTATATACCCCTGTCCGTAACTTCAGCGCAATAACACCAGACGTAGGTCAGAATAAGCTCAGCAATGTTCAAAGACTGATTTCACTTGAGCAGAGACGTGGATTCATTCGATATCAATTAGTTTGACTTTTCATGTCAAATGAAAAAACAATGATAAAATTTTTACAAAAATACTATACACCATGAACAATATCTACATCACATGACATAATACTATGGAAGCGTATTAGGGCCACAGATCTTTATCTACAAGTCGTGCGTATCGTTTCTCAGGCGATGACATTGTGTCCTTAAATGGAAGTTGCGCACACAAGCACACGCACGCACACACACGCGAACACAAACACGTTTGATATCCTGATGGTCGTTCAGCAAATACAATCATTTAACAAAATATCGCCACATTATACCTATTTCATTAAATTTTCTGATATGTTTTATAGACAAACAACTCGATAATTATGTAGCCAGAGATTACTTGAAAATATCTTCTCCGTAGATGAAAGTATCATCTGCTTTGAATACATGACACGTTTTATCGATAACAACTTCTTCATTTTTTTATACGACGTTTCAGAGCTAATTCTTGCTCCTTCATCTTGTGAATGATGAAGGAACAAGAATTAGCTCAGAAACTGTAGCTAGTTTTCAGTTCTGCTATGTTAGTTAGTTGGTTGTTTCACGCCGTACTCAGCGATATTTCAGGTCTGTAAATAATCGAATTTGTACCAGCCAATCCAGTGATCAACAGTATGAGCCTTGATCCACGCAACTCAGATACGATGACATGTGTCAACCAAGTCAGCGAGCCAGACCATCAGATCCCATTAGTCGCCTCTTATGACAAATCGCCTCTTACGGTTGCTAAAGATTCTAACCCGGATCTTCACTGGTCAATTTCTGTTAGGTGCTGTTTTCCTTTGTGAACAGATATATGAATATGTATTACTTTACCTTTGTAAAAGTACACAGAGGATTCATCATGAGTGTTTAATATTGGAAATATGGCAAAATTACGATTAACGGGACGAGGCTGATATGTCCCATATTAAAATAGACACAAGTAAAGAAATCTATGCCACATTTTCATTGTTCATCTCTTTTAAGGCATATATGCATCAAATAATAAACTTGTCGAAGTCTTATGCACATATATGAATGCAAATTGATTAAATTGATTATTTCCTGTCTGCACAAATGGTATGCATTCTATATCTTTATAGCCTTGTCAAAACAAACCAACAAACATATTACATTTATCTAGATCTAGACCTTTCTTTAAATTTAGTTGTTTGTTTAACTTTTGTCAATCTTGTTGAGTGGTTATTCTTGGAGACATTTTAAACATTTTACAGGGTAATCAGGTGAGCTACAGTGCTGTGGCACTTTTATGTTTTCGCAACATAATCCGCCTACCATGACCCCATCAAACACAACCTTTTCCAAGATCCAATTATTTCATTTCTGTATAATAGGCTTCAGTTTCATCTGATAACGGTCTAAGTATCTATACCGAAAAGTCGTTATGTTTATACATGATAAAGAAATACTTATAAAACAAATGATCCATTCGTAATAGTTGATAAACAATGGAAGTAATATACTTGTTTTACATTAATAGAGAAGAATGTCCAAGGTCAGCTTGATGTCACAGATTTCAAGGACACCTTCTTGGAATGCTCCGTCTGTGTCGAACACTTCAACCAGACAAATCGACGTCCCCGACATCTCAATTCCTGTCTCCACGCCTTCTGTACAATTTGTCTGCAGACTCTGCTCACAAAAGAGGGAGGAAACAAGATCACTTGTCCATTGTGTCGACAGGTCCAGACCGTGAGGGGAACTGCCGACACATTACCGATTGATCCAGTTCGGGATAAACTGACGGAATATCTACAGATGAAGATTGAAAAGAAAACCTTTTGCACAGATTGTCCAGATGGAAATGAAGCTGAGTCTAGATGTAAGGAATGTTCTTCTTACCTCTGTGCCCCTTGTCGTTCAGCACACAAACGCAACCGCATGACAAAAGACCATACAATAATCACCTTTTTATTGAGAGATCCAGGCAAACTTTAAAAGAGGTCACTTCTGTCAGTACCACCCAGCGCATCAAATTGAGTTCTACTGCGAAACCGATGAGCAGCTCTGCTGTGTTTCGTGTTGCATTGTAGATCACAAAGACCACGAGATAAGGAAACTTGAAAATGCAGCAGAAGCTAAAAAAGCAAAGATCGAACAAAACCTTCAGCGTATTACAAAGATGTCAGAGTTAACACAAGAAGCACTCGAGAAAGACGCTAACCAGAAAGGGACTATAACCGCCATCATGGAACGGAGTGAGTATGACATAAACACCTTATACAACAGCTTGACGAATGCAGTGGAACGTAAACGAAAACGACAACTAGCATATTTTAATAAGAGGAGCCTTGAGGCACTGGCCACAGTGAAAACTACAGCGGAAGCTCATAGGCAAACCATGGCTAAGATAGAAGCAACACAAGGATATGTCACAAAACTGGAGGAGACGGCAGATGCTGTTGAGATGCTACAGATGTACCCTTCTATAATGGGGAGTATGGAAGGGATCACGGAAGTTCCAGAATGTCAAGATATTGATCGCAGAAATCTCAGATTTAAAACAGATGCAACAGCTTTCAAAAAGAGTCTATCAGAATGTGCAGATAAGGCAATAGCTGACGGTATGTATCTCCATGCAAAATTAACCGCACTGATGCGCATGGTCATCGGTCCTAAAATTTCCTTTTGACATTTGATGAGTCCCTTCAGATTACTTCTATGTTCAATATTTACTCTAGATTAAGTTGGAGTGCTGTAGAATTGGCCTAAGTTGGACCCTATTAGATCAAGTATTTCTTCACATACATGCTGTTAGGGGCGGTGTGATGAATAAAATGTGTTGACGATCTAGGATAAATGCACTTATTTGAAATCCACTGGAAGAGTTATAGTTAATGCCTAAAGATGGGTAAAACGATGTATACCCACTCATCATTTCTATACATACAGGAAACGAACAACTGACAAAAATATAATTGTTTGTTCAATCTGTATTTCAGGAGATCTCTCGAGAAGAACAAGGGACTGGTTGGACACGGTAAATGTATATCCATATAAAAACGTGAATGATTTACAATGCATACATTTCTATATTTTTCCGAAATTTTTCTCAACAACTTTTCTTGAACTCCGTGCAAGTCGCAGCGCATAGTCTGTCTTGTTTATAGCTCCACTTGTCAAACGAAGCAGTAGTCGATTAGCAAACGCGTCCATGCCAACCTTAAAGTAATTAATCAAAGATAAAGTTAGTGAGCTGTGTCAGCACCGGCCTTTCTTCTTTTGTTCGTGACTTGGTCAAGTGCAGATACATCTCTTGTTCCAAAGAAAGAAAATATAACTTTATTCTTATTTCTGTCTAACATCCCATTTCATTGTAATTCTTGTCCAGAAAATGTCAGAGTTAAGATTAAAACATTGCTTCGATATTGAAGTATTTCTTGAAATACTACTGTAAATGCTAGTTCTAAATGACCGATTAATTCTTTGTCTTTTCTATGTCTCGACATCGACGGTTATAACCCCAGTCTGTGTATAGTTTTATTCCCGTGTTAGATCAGCAGAAGCTCGCACTGATGAATTTATATGTAGGTCAGTTATTTCATATTTAACGATTGTCCGACGATCAAATCTCATACGAATAGATATACCTGACAGAATAGCTAACAACAGTCAATCAGTCTGTAGTTAATGCTTTAGCATCATAATTAAGTATACTGGACAAAAATAGTTAGGGATATATATAAATTTGAAATTATGAATAATGATATATTTATTCATTGGCAAACTGATAAAATATCAATCACAGAAATACCAATATCCCTAACTTATTTTGTCCAGCCTATTTGATTGATATGAAACTTTCCTTTACACGAGCAGTTAGGTTATGTAAGAAACAAAACAGCTTATGACGAATTGCATTACCGTAGCCATTTGGATAAGTTATTATCTTCTTTCATGTTAACCGATAATATGCATTCAAACCTGCATGGTTTAAGTATGCGATTGCAGTTTTTATTCCGTTTTTATTTAGCTCCGTAATTATAGGAAATACGCGTAGTGAATGACAACAGCGCCTTCCTAATACATTACTATACTTCTCTAACTAAATTATTATCTTGTATTGTTTTCACGAAAATGTATCTTCCGACCTGATTTGTTAAGGTATAGAATTAGCGTACCGTCTCTATTTTATGTTCTTGTTTTACTCCGTATATATCAGATTTGCACGTTGCCAATAGCAAATTCACCGTCGTAACATATTTACCGCAGTCACCAAAATAATCCATGATGAAACAAAACATCACTCTAGCTAAAATGGTACCATATTTTATTGACTGTATAGGAAAAAAACATGTTATATGTCAAGGGCGTTTTGGGAAATATATGGGACAAACTAAGTGCCTCAGAGATAGAGTGCGGGTCCATAAACATCATATAAAAGACCCAAAGATACGTTGTATTCCACTAGTACCCATCTCGACATCTGTGCAAAAGACAAAGACATTAAATTTGATGTTTTTTCAATTTTACAAAATGGAAACAAATGATAGAAGGATGCGACGAATCAAAGAAGAATATTTCATTAAAATATATAGTGAGTCAAAATAAAAACTTCACAATTCATATTTGTAAATACAAATATGAATTGTTACAGTAGACAGTTTTCGGGTATCATAATATTAATCCCCAAGTATCGATGCAAGAAAAAAAAGTCACCACAGCACATTGAAGCCAATCCAAGCTTCGTGCACCCCACAACAGTGAACGTGCCGTTGGCATGCTGGAAGCGGGAACGTCAGTAAGTGACGTTGCAAGGACAATGAAGTGGACTGTTTATGATTTACAGACTCAACTCCAACAAACTCGAGCCACTGCTGATCGCCCTTGGCCAGGTCGACAACGTGTGACGTCACAGGCGGAGGACCGTCAAATTGTGTTACGTCACCTCTGTAATCGTTTTTTGACGGCTATAGGAACCAGAAGCTGTCTTGCGGTCGATCGTCGGCCCAAACCACTCGAAACCAGTCATCTTCGACGACCATATCGCGGAACTATTTTGACGCCAGTATACCGACGTCAGCATGTCCTGTGGGCACGACGACACCTCCGATGGACTCAGAGAGACTGGAATCGAGTTGTCTTCAGTGATGAATCAAGATTTACCCTCAGATTCGCTGATTGTAGGATGAGTATGTGGAGGCGAACGCGTAAATGTTATGCGAAGTGTTGTGTACAGGAAGTTGACAAATCTGGGGACGGAAGTGTCATGGTTTGGGGTGCTTTTTGTGGGATTGTCCGTTCCCGACTTCTCTTAGATGGTTATCCGATGGAACCTTAATGTTGCAATTAACGGTGACCAGGTGCTAGCCCCTGAAAGTATTCCATTCATGGCAGCACATGGTCCAGGTCTGTACTTTCAACATGACAATGCCAGACCCCATACACCCAACTTGACCAGGAATTACCTACAGAACGCAATAATCAACGTTCTTGACTGGCCGTCAAGGTCACCTGGCCCTGATTTCTCGAAACAAACTAAAATCTGAGATTTGACTTAAGTTAGAGTTTTTACTCAAATTTGAGAAAACGCAGGAAAATGCATTTCCCAGAATGAACTGAAATAGATAGTCAACTCAAAGATAGTAGACAATTTGAGTTTGGTGGATAGATTACTTAAGTTGTTCGGTTTATTAACTTAAAAAATGCAGTTGAGTTAAAAATTCAGCTGTTTCAAATTGTCAAACTCAGTTTGAAATTTGAGTAAAAACTTAAGTTTGTTTTGAGAAATCGGGGCCTGATCTCAATCCAATCGAGCACTTCTGGTATGCTCTTGGTAGAAGTCTGCGCACTCTCAGGAACCAAACCCAGAATTTGCAAGATCTTGGTGCTGCTTTGCAGGAACAAGGCAATTGCTCCCCGTAAACACGGATCAGACAGTCCATGAGGAGGCGTTGCTTGGCAGTTGTGAACGCACGAGGTGGCCATACATGCTACTGAACGTTTGTAACATCAGATACAATTTCTTGTGACTTGACACTTTGCTTAAGCCTTTTATTGATAAATTCTGTAACCACATGGAACCAATTTTTGGCATTGTGATTATTCCCAGTTCATCTTATCAATCTTAGCAAATAAATGATAGCCTCTATACCGCATTCTTGGGTCCTTTCTTTTATATATATCATTTTATTCAATATATGATATATGATTGTGAAGTTTCTAGTTCGGCTCAGTATATTAAGACCACAACTTAATGTTTGATGAAATAATTGATTATATCTATTACATGTGTCCATCTTAAAGCATGGCCTTTTGTGACGTCATATTGTTATATCACTGCCGTTGAATTGTTAAGGGCTCCTTTCCGCCTTAAAGAATCGGGGCGGGCGGGGATACTGAAAAATAATCCATCAAAATCCGTGATCATCAGTAGACAAAAACTGAAATTGTATCGTAGTTAACATAATAGGCATGGCATATCGTGAATGAATTGCTAGGCGCTCTTGTCCATTGTAGCTACCATTATTCTTTAATTTATTATTCATTTATATATGTACAAGTTTCTTAGTCACGATATGGCTGAAATACTGCCGAAGTGAGTTTAAATATTAACTCACTCACTCATTAATTTATCTGTACTATTATGTAAGTTATCAGTACCGTTGTTGCTGAAGTAAACGTTACATTATTTGTCTTATGATTCTGTGCGCATTTACCGTCCATACTCCATTTTATAGCACACGTTGTTTATATCACCTGGCTTATATTGAAACAGTATTAGGATATCACTGATTATTACTAATATTGTAGTTCATTATTATGTATGGATTGGTGTATTTAGTAAACCTAAGGTCAGTTGGTTGTTTAATGTCGCACAATCCAGTGATTAATATCATGAGCACCGTTCTACGCAATTGCATACAATGACATGTGTCAACCAAGTCAGCAAGCCTGACCACCCGATCCTGTTAGACAAGCATGGGTTACTGAAGACCAATTCTAACCCGGATCTTCACGGGTGATAAACCTCTCTCCCCTCTTGTTTCAAGGCCAGCTGGCTGTTTCCCCAAATCTGGACCTGGCAGTAGCTTCAGCTCGCATAGAACACAAAGCTCTCTTTACAGGATTATCAAAATCAAGGATTACGGACTGACATTGAATATTCCAAACTCCATAGAGGCTGATCTTGCCAGGGTTTGAATCGTAACAGAATAGCAACGACACTGTAGAGTTATATCAAGCGCAAAAAAAGGTGTTTCTTTCCTCATTTGTATCATACATTTCTTTCTGTTTTCATGGCTTAATAATTGTGAAGTACATGGACTGGTGCCAGTGCTTTGACATGTTCTCTTTTATATATTTTTCAGAAGTAAAGCAGTTTGATTGATGTACCAGGGGAGACAACTGGAAGCAGTAATGACAAATAGATGGACATAAATCAGTATGTCGTGTCTTTTCTTTTTGACATTTTGTTGTTCTTAGTCTTAGGTCACACTGACTATATAAATGAGATTTGACCTAAGCTTTCGTAAATACACGAGACTATATTCCACGGTTTCGGGGACATGACTCCATATTTTCATAAATATTGCATAACAAATTACCCATTTTATTTCTCACAAAATTTGAAAGAAACAATGACCTCGTATTTTTTCCGCTTTTAATCAAACACCTATTTGAAATCTAAAA